CCGCGGGCAGGAAGAAGTAAGTGTTACCTTTTGGGAATTGGTAGTCTTGGGGTCCCGCTGTTCGAGAACGTCAGTGCCAATTCTGGAAATTTGTTGGGGTATGGATGGGGCGAAAACATACCCCTACAAAAATTGGGGAATGATGTTTTCGTAGTGATAGGAACAGTTCGATATGTGAAAAAAGGAAAAAATCATGGGGGGGAGAATTCTGGGCTGTGATGATGCTGTAACTCTTAAGAGCTGAAAGGAAATATCTCTACAAGTGGCTAGGAGCGCTTTGCCAATGTACTTGGTCGGAAAGATAGGCAGAGAAGAAGTTGGTCTTAATGTAAAGAATTATCCATTGTGTGGGCCGAAAAATAGAGTGGAGGGGAGGCAATTTTCGGTCTTTTCCGTTTAAATGGGAAGAACGAAGTAACATCATTTGGGATTGTGTTTTTGTTTAGAAATGGGACCAGAGCCGGTCCGACGGGGAAGGGTGGCGATTCGAAAATTCCGCAGTGAGGGAGAAAACCGAAACATAGTCAAAGGAGAGGGGGTAGACAAATAAGGATCAGTGGAAGCCCCCGGGACCTGAAGGGGCGAGGAAACAGCACAGAAAACGTACGGGGCCCTTTGGGAAATTTCCCAAAAGTGGCCAAAAAACAGGCGAAGTCGAACGGGGGGGTAAAAAAAAGGGGCCCGGAGGTGCGGGGGGCAGGATTGGTTTTCCATGGGTTTGGTTCTTCTTTCTTTTTGTTTTTTAAGAAAAAAAAGAAAAGAAAAATAAAAAAAAAGAATAATAAAAGGGGGGGACTGGGGAGGGATAGTTCCTAGGAGGAATGAAAGGGCCAGAAATCTCCCTCCGCGCTCAAGAGGACCTCAGCACCGCAAGTAGCGCAGATGCAGCATGGAACCCGTGCCATACCCTACCCATCATGCCAGTAAACCAGCAATCCGGGATAGCAACCTCACATCTGCCGAACTACCTCGGTGGACAAAAGAGAGGGCAGCCGGATATCCACCACAAAGCATACCTCCTTCGGCCACCACCCCCGGAATCCGAAAGGTGGCTTCCAGAGATGCACCCGTCGCCCGAAAGACACCCAAAGCCACCCTCTAGGATACCGGAGAGGGATCAGGACATCCCCAGGCAATCCAGATTCCACGGCAAACTACGCCACCACCAAGAACCTCAATGGAATGGGATGGACCCCAGTACCCTTTCCCCTACCTAGGAACTAGCGCGCCTGTGGGAAAAAATCCCAAAGGCCAAAAAGGAAGGGCAAAAGGGAGGGGTGGGGAGGAGGAAAGGAAAAAGGGGAGGATGGGATAGGGAAGGGGGATTGGGGGGTAATTAGGTTCGGTCTGAGGAAGAAGACCGACAGGTCTAATTCCTCAGACCAAGAGCCTCTTCACCACACCAAGGAGCCCTCCTTGAAGAGGAGGGTGACCCAAAAAGAAACAAAATCCCCAAAAAAGAAAATACTTTCATCATTCAACACTTTCACCTCGCTCACACATAATCATTGTTTTTGCAGAGGTGCTCAGAACACAACAGTTTAGAAGCATATATGTATAAAGATACACAACACATCCCTCCAAACTACTAATATCCCGAAACCCCTCCTTTAGAGTACAGGCATTGTACTTCCCATTTCCAGGACTCGAGTCCGGCTATATAAAAATAACCGGTTTCCCTGAATCCCTCCACTAAATATTACCCTGCTCACACTCCAACAGATCGTCAGGTCCCAAATACCATTCGTCTCCATTCATGCCTATCATGCACGCCTACTGGAAATCCAAGTCCCTCGCGCACAAAACTTCCCTTACCCCTTCCTTCCAACCTTTTCGAGGACGACCCCTACCCCGCCTTCCATCCCCTACAGATTTAAATGCTCTCCATGTCATTCTACTTTGATCCATTCTCTCTAAATGACCAAACCACCTCAATAACCCCTCTGACTAATATTTTTATTAACTCCACACCTTCTCCTAATTTCCACACTCTGAATTTTCTGCATAATATTTACACCACACATTGCCCTTAGACAGGACATCTCCACTGCCTCCTCACTGCTGTATTCACAACCCAAGCTTCACACCCATATAAGAGTGTTGGTACTACTATACTTTCATACATTCCCTTCTTTGCCTCCATAGATAACATTTTTTGTCTCCACATATACCTCAATACAGAAATGGTGGGGGATTTTGAGGGTGGGGGCTTGTTGAGGCATATGTCAGTGGCCCTGTAAACCTCCAACATTATTTTGTTTCATCGCTGAACTTAACTGATACAATTTGTTTTGTTTAATCAATGAACATAGCTGATACAGCTTTAGTGTCTACATATCGTAGATGTACTAAGCTGGTATTGCCTGGCTAAGTCCATGGAAATCATCGTCTTTTTTTTCTCAGCAAAGTCCTTTGCACTTATTTTCTAAGGGCCCATGGTTAGAAAAAAAGAAATTTGGCCAAATGATTGCCAAAAAAAAAGCAGCAAGCAAGCACGAGAGAAATGCTCCCAAAGCGATGTAAACATGTATACTGCTTACCGGATGTTTTAGCATCAGCTGTGCCAACTAGCAGCAGCATTCTGAATTATCTTTATGTATGTATTATGTATTATTATTATTAATTTAGGGGACTGGAGCACAGATCCAATTCCCTAGATCAAGAGTCTCTCACCAGCGTCAAGGAACCTCAACGCTGGTGAGGGGCTCTTGATCTAGAGAATTGGATCTGTGCTCTAGTTACCTAAATTAATAATAATAATAATTATAATAACGAACTCTATCAACTGTTTACCTCGCTGTGGGAGCAGTTATCTCATGCTTTGCTTATATTTTTGACAAGTCATTTGGCCAAATTTCGTTTTTCTAAGCATGGGTCCTAAGAAAGTAAGTGTAACGGACAATGCTGAGAAGAAAAAGATGATTATTTCCATGGAATTAAAGCATGAAATCATAGATAAACAAGAAAGGTGTCCAGGTTTTGCATTGATGGGGAAGCAGGCTCGTAACTCAAATGTTGGCTCGAAACTCAGAGCAAAAAATTGAACCAGGGATGGCTCATATCTCAAAAAAATTTGTATGCTGGGACACTCGTAAGTCAAGGCTCCACTGTATTGTGATCATATAAAACTTAAGAGGTAACTACATAGCTTGAACAGAAGATAATACCTATATATAAGCCATCAAAAAAACAGTTATGTCAAAGTCTCAGTCACATTTGATTAAGAGAATGACTCTCTTCTGGAGATTACTTATCTCTTTGTAGGTTCATAAGGTAATTCAAGGGAAAGTAGCAAGAAGTATACAGCAAAAGGACACCTTCATTAGTACATGAACGTGGTACTATATAAAGGTCTCCTTTTGCTGTATGTCGTCTTACCACTTGTCAACTATGCTTCAACCAATCAATCCAGAAGCAAGCTACTGGTCTCAATCAATGCAACTACGTACCTACTTATCTAATCTTGAAATCGTTAGCCTCCACTGCAGTGTACAATCTCACTTCTACAACTTGCGGTGTAATTCTTAGATACAGTACTGTCTTTTTTGCCAATATTGAAAAAAAAATGCTGTGCTGTTCACAACTAATCTACAATTTTGAGAGGAAATTTTGCCATCTCATTTTTCCATTCCATACCCATTATGTAGAACAAACTATCACTTTATTTCTTCCCCAGTATTTCTGATATCCAGTTCTTCATGAGGCATATGTGGAAACATCTGTACAACAGAGGAGTTTTTTAATTAAAAATAAAACTACCAAAGGCCTAAGCAACAGAGCACATACAGAAGAACTAGCAATTGCACGAGTGTGAAAAATGATAAAATAACTAATTCTAAAACTAATTTTATAAGTTATAAATTAAGAACTAATCAGAAATTTGCATACTACAGTACATGCCTATACAGTGGAACCTCAACTTACGAGTTTAATCCATTCCGTGACCTAGCTCTTAACTAAATTTACTCGTATATCAAATCAATTTTCCTCATTTAAATTAAATGAAATGCCATTAATCTGTTCCAGCAGAATTCCTGCTCTTAGGAGGCAGGACAAAATACTTCAATGTGACGCTAATATCAGCTTTACAGCTTATTTATCTATCACAATTCATCTAATATGACATAATAAACAATATAAATAACAAAAACACTATATATACTATCTAATGAATAAAATATGTCATTATGTGACTAGTGGTGGCAGCCATTCCTGCTCCCGCTCATATCTTGAAAAACTTGTATGTTGGGACACTCGTAAGTCAAAGTTCCACTGTATTAAAATCAGATTTCAAACCTCAGTTAGCAGCAATGATAAAAATAGTTTAGCCTAAAAGCTTACCAAAAATCCCAAAAAGTATAAATGACATGGTAATTTAAGATAAATATTTTACTAATCAAGTTTCCTAGAAAAAAAGGCACTAATCGTTTGAAGAGATTCTGAGCTATTTTTAATAGTACAACCTTATATATGACACCAACCATAACTTTATATATTTTTGTTAAAAGAGAAGTGCTAAATCCATAGTCATACAGTACCTGAGGAATGAGAGGTAATCAGGCTTGATCAAAGGAAGAGGATAACTCCAACTCCTTGGATCAAGAGCCCTTCACCAACATCAGGGCACCCTCTTGAAAGACCAAGTGTCTAGAGCATACATAGGTGTACCTTATATGGTGCCATTTAAATACTCATCTATACATGATGATACTCAATAACACCTTGCTAAATAAAAGTACATACTATACATGAGATGGCACTATAGCTGTATAACCTTTCCTTACACTGATTTATAAAAAGTCACACAAACACAGAATAAAAATGATCTTACAACCCTTAACCAGAGGACACATTCAGTAATTATGTAATTCCAAGCAGAGAGAACACTCATTATTTTTTTCTGAGCCCTGCAATTGTGGATCATGGACAGATGTGCATGTATGGACACATGTACTTGTGTAGACAGGTGTGCTTGAGTGAGCATGTGTGCTTGTGTGGACAGATCTACTTGAGTGAGCATGTGTGCTTGTGTGGACAGATCTACTTGAGTGAGCATGTGTGCTTGTGTGGACAGATCTACTTGAGTGAGCATGTGTGCTTGTGTGGACAGTGAGGAGCAGCAGTGATATCCTGTTAAAGAATGGACTCGCCAACTCATGAACACGTGCTTGTGTGAGGGGCACCGGTGGAATCCTGTTAATGGACTCATCAACTTAGCAAACAAGACACACCACATACCATACATTAATTAATTTTTAAAACAGCAGATGTAAAGCAAGGGCAAGGCCAAATGATCTTTCCAAAAGAACATTCCATTATTAAGGCTTGCTGTTAATGCAAAATGTGACATGCCATTTTAGAAAACTATTTTCAAAATACAGGAACATGGTGGCAGTATGACATTCAATCATCACCGGAGATGCAACATGAGAGATATGGCTAATGCAGTGTTGTGTATTCAAAAAATATATTGGATTACTGGACTCACTTCAGCAGTAAGTTTTATTACTGAAGGTTACTGATTTTACAATGACAAAGTCCAATATTTTAGGTAATAAATTTTAACCAAGGCTGACACAATGCAGCACTGCATACAACAAATTGGAATGGGTCCATGTGCACAATTTTTATACCAGGATCTTTTAACTTTTCAGTGTGTACCCAAAGATGATTTCTTATTACAAAGAGATGAAATAAATAAATTTGCAAACTTGCCTATTTTGGTCGTTTCTAGCGTACAGAAGGAAAAACTTTAGATTTTACTTGTCCCTTTTAAGTGGAAATGTCTCTCCAAAAGCTCATCGTGGACTGTATACACCTTCCCTTGTGACAGCAACATCAATCCCATCAGCAGTTCACATCTACTGTCTCATCTTGAACATATATGTTTACTGAATATGAAAGACTATTAATAAACATGTTCAGGGTCAGTTTACAATCACTGAAACTTCTCACAGGGACAATTTTTACCATGGTAAAACATAAAGGAGTGGCTACCACAACACCTATCACTCAAGTAGTGTACAAAGCCCTGACTCTGCTATAGCAAAAGGGAAAGAAGACTGATTCTGAAGATTATTTTATAATCTATATACTCAAGAAAAGTGCTTCCCAAACCACCAAAAAAGGGTGAATAAGGTAATACTGATGATGAAAATAAAAGTATGCATGATGTAATCCTTACAAGTAGTAAGGTTTACATCATGCAAAGGATGCATGAAGTACTAGTTATATTAGCAAGTGGAAAAAGCTGCATTTCTCAATACACATTAAAACAGGAAACAAACACATACGTAGTTTAATGTGATCCTTTATTGACGACATTTTGCCCACACAGTGGGCTTTTTCAAGTCACAAACAGATCTGTTTGTGACTTGAAAAAGCCCACTGTGTGGGCGAAACGTTGTCAATAAAGGATCACATTAAACTGCATGTGTGTTTATGTTTCCAGTGTGTCGGTATTTTATACAATTTATTTTCACACATTAAAACAGTTGAAAGCACTGCCCTAGCCATTTTGTGCCAAACAATATAAAAATGCAGAAGAATTACAGCAGTTAAATGCTTAGATTTGCAATCCATGAAGGATTAGAAGAGAATTTGCAACCATTTCCAGTGATATTTTGAAAGCTTGGCAGATGCATTACTAAGGCTTGCCACACAACACAACCACTCAAAACTCACACCTTCCCTACCATGGGGTTGCTTGGTGCTTTCTTGGGTTCATGGCTGTACAGGAAGATTGAGCCTATCACCAAGGCTGTGCCAACTGCAAACTGAAATGTTATTACAAAATCAAAAAGAAATACAGATGCAACAGTGGATATGACAATGGCTAATGATGTTGCAAAGCCTTTTAAAATATTGTCAGCATATTTGACTACCATTGCTACCAGAAGTCCTCCCACAGCATTGAGTACCACAAGATACCACACATAGGCATCATAACCGTAAAAGAAACCTTTATCCATAATGGCTGAGTAGTCATTTGCATATGATGTCAATACACCTAAAGGTAGGGAGAGGAAAGACAACTGAACATTTCTGACCCACAGTGATACATCTGACCCTTTCAAGATTTTTTCAAAGTAGATGCCAGCAAAACCTGAACAGCAACAAGCAGAAATAGCAGCAATGCAGCCTAATAGACGATTCTGTCCCATATTATCTGTAGTGACTCCCTTGCTAGATGCAGACAGCTGAACAAGAGCAACTCCAACCGTGAGAATTAACAATGAAAGCCACTGTGTCCCACGCAGCTGCTTCTGTAGGATCAACACAGCAAACATTGCAGTTGTCAGAATCTTCATCTGATAGGTAACCTGAAAGAAAAACAAAGAAATACTATTAAAAAAAAAGTTAGAGCCCATTGGGATTAGTTAAGGAAGTGGAAGTAATCTGAAATTTATAAGGTTCTATGGAATTTGATTAGTGTGGTCTGTATATATGTAAACTTTCAGTTGTGTCAATTTGCAAAGGGAATACAGATACAATCCCACCAAGACAAGTACAGTGGACTTCGGTTATGCGGTAATCCGTTCCAGAAGTTCTTATGGATTTCTATAAAATGTGGAACCTGCAAATAATATTGCGCCGAAGAAAAAAAAAAAAAAAAAAAAAATACCCTTTCAGACACCCAAAAGTATTAACAAAAAATACATTTTATAGAGAATAACTATAATTTTACATACACAAAACAATAAGAAATAAATATAAAGCACAAATTTTAATAATAAATGAATATTACATATCTTTATTGAAGACTCTTGTTGACGTATTGAAGGCGAGGAGGGGATACGGAGCTGGGAATCCCCCTCCAGAAGGACTTCAGGTATCAAAGCCCTATCTAGGGTTACTTCCCTTCTTTGCCTTTTACTGCCACGGTACAGTCATTGCTTACCTCAAAATATTTGTAGTCTTAATGTAGGGAGACTGGTGAGTAATATTTATTTGTAGAAATACAGTGTAGGTAGCAAGCAGATATAGGTACATGTATGTAGGCCCCCTGGGCTAAACTACACAGCCATATTATTACCATCAACATATCATGTTCACTGAGTTTAATCATTTCTAACAACTAACTTTAGATGGCATCATAAACAAAGGGAGAAGTAATGAATAATACATGCCGAGAATTGTAAACAAACGTTTATGAAGGGTGGTGACTGGACCAGACGCCAGATTCACAGTTTTCTCTAACGCTGAATCAGAGAAAGCATAATGTTTACCCTCCACCCTCCCTCCTCCTTGATTCGCCGGTACTCACCACTTGATAGCATATAAACATTGCATGTTTATATGCTATTTAACGTGTTTCTTATATAATTTTGAAGAAAATGTCATACATAGATTAATGAAATATTAACCTAAAATAAGACATTTAATGTGCCCAAGAGTGATTATCATTGTGTGTCCAATACAGCTGATCTCCGAAATGACAGCCGCAAACCAGGATAGAATTTCAGCCAAAAAAAGCGGCCGAAATCCAAATTGGCCGATATCTGGAATGTCCGATAACCAAGGGTTCACTGTAATCAAGATGATGCAGTTCTACATAATGGTGCAAAGTAATATGCAATCTTGCTTTAACAACTTTAAAATAATTTTACTTTAAAATTCAATGTTCTTTCTCCTTCTTTCAACACACCGGCCGTATCCCACCGAGGCGGGGCGGCCCAAAAGGAAAAACGAAAGTTTCTCCTTTTACATTTAGTAATATATACAGGAGAAGGGGTTACTAGCCCCTTGCTCCCGGCATTTTAGTCGCCTCTTACAACACGCATGGCTTACGGAGGAAGAATTCTGTTCCACTTCCCCATGGAGGTAAGAGGAAATAAACAAGAATGAGAACTAAAAAGAAAATAGAAGAAAACCCAGAGGGGTGTGTATATATATACATGCTTGTACATGTATGTGTAGTGTGACCTAAGTGTAAGTAGAAGTAGCAAGACGTACCTGAAATCTTGCACGTTAACGAGACAGAAAAAAGGACATCAGCAATCCTACCATCATGTAAAACAATTACGGGCTTTCGTTTCACACTCGCCTGGCAGGACGGTAGTACCTCCCTGGGCGGGTGCTGTCTACCAACCTACTACCTCAAAAAATTCAATGTTATTCAGCCAAAAAGGCCACAGACAAGTCTTGTGGGGGCACCTTTCACTGATACTGATTGACCGAAAGTTACTTTACAGTAATCACCAAGGAAGCTGCTTCTCAGAGAGACAACAAGAACTTTATAAAGATGAAACTTGTTCTGAAACAGGTAACTATTGAGTTCTGAAATGCTGTACAGCGATACCCCAAGTTTCGGCCACAATTCGTTCCAGAAGACCATTCAAGAGCCGTCACAAAACGAATTTGTTCCCATACGGAATAATGTAAACTAGAATAATCAGTTTCAGACCCCCAAAAATACACTTACAAAAGCACTTACATAATTGTTCTAGTTGGGAGCTGTACAAAACTTGGCATACCACTGTACTGAGAAAAAGTATACCCCATATTAGACAGCTATTTTCAAACTGTTATCAAAGTTTAGCTCAGTCTACCTTTGTGATATTTTTCTGCCCTCAAACACAAAATCCAAAAACTAATTTGTTTAATACAAAACGAAATTTCAAAATAACTGTTAAATATAGTGTGCCAGAAGTTCCTTCAAAATATATCATGCAATTTAAGAACGTTGTTGTTACTTTTTTAGTATTACAGTATTATTATTATTTTTACTATTATTATTATTATTCTTGTTCATTGCTACTAAATTTTAAAATTCTTAAACCAAGTCATTTATTATTATTCATAGATCATTTGTATAATAGATTGTAAGGAAGTGCTTAACACACAGGGGTTATACAGCACCTGAGGAAAGGGGAGGTAATCAGGTTTGATCCTAGGAAGGGAAGGGTACCTCCAATTCCTCAGATCAACAGCCCTTCAGTGGCATCCTCCTCCCCCTTGAAGAGTATTATTCATAGGAAAATATTAGCTGCCTACCACATAATGCCATTTTTACACCTGTAGCTTTTGGAAAGGTACATGATTATTTTTGATGCTTCACCTGGGACCAGTTAACCAATCCTGCTATAAAAATTATCATTTATCAAAATACACAGAGCAATTAATCTTTTGAGATTATTTTTTTTTTTTAACAAATCAGCCGTCTCCCACCAAGGCAGGGTGACCCAAAAAGAAAGAAAATACTTTCATCATCATTCAACACTTTCATCTCACTCACACATAATCACTGTTTTGCAGAGGTGCTTAGAATACAACAGTTTAGAAGCATATACGTATAAAGATACACAACATATCCCTCCAAACTGCCAATATCCCAAACCCCTCCTTTAAAGTGCAGGCATTGTACTTCCCATTTCCAGGACTCAAGTCCGGCTATATAAAATAACCGGTTACCCTGAATCCCTTCACTAAATATTACCCTGCTCACACTCCAACAGCTCGTCAGGTCCCAAATACCATTCTTCTCCATTCACTCCTATTAACACGCTCACGCATGCTTGCTGGAAGTCCAAGCCCCTGGCCCACAAAACCTTCCTTACCCATTCCTTCCAACCTTTTCGAGGACGACCCCCACCCCGCCTTCCTTCCCCTACATATGTATATGCTCTCCATGTCATTCTACTTTGATCCATTCTCTCTAAATGACCAAACCACCTCAACAACCCCTCTTCAGCCCTCTGACTAATACTTTTATTAACTCCACACCTTCTCCTAATTTCCACACTCCGAATTTTCTGCATAATATTTACACCACACATTGCCCTTAGACAGGACATCTCCACTGCCTCCAACTGCCTCCTCGCTGCAGCATTTACAACCCAAGCTTCACACCCATATAAGAGTGTTGGTACCACTATACTTTCATACATTCCCTTCTTTGTCTCCATAGATAACGTTCTTTGTCTCCACATATACCTCAACGCACCACTCACCTTTTTTCCCTCAATTCTATTATTAACCTCATCCTTCATAAATCCATCTGCTGATACGTCAACTCCCAAATATCTGAAAACATTCACTTCTTCTATACTTCTCCCCAATTTGATATCCAATTTTTCTTTATCTAAATCATTTGATACCCTCATCACCTTACTCTTTTCTATGTTCACTTTCAACTCTCTACCTTTACACACACTACCAAATTCGTCCACTACCTTCTGCAATTTTTCTTTAGAATCACCCATAAGTACAGCATCATCAGCAAAAAGTAACTGTGTCACTTCCCATTTTGTATTTGATTCCCCAAAATTTGATCCCACCCCTCTCCAAAATACCCTAGCATTTACTTCTTTTACAACCCCATCTATAAATATATTACACAACCATGGTGACACTACACATTCCTGTCTAAGATCTACTTTTACCGGGAAGTTGTCTCCCTCTCTTCTACACACCCTAACCTGAGCCTCACTGTCCTCATAAAAACTCTTCACAGCATTTAGTAACTTACCACCTATTCCATATACTTGCAACATCTGCCACATTGCTCCCCTATCCACAATCATATGCCTTTTCCAAATCCATAAATGCAATAAAAACTTCCCTACCTTTATCTAAATACTGTTCACATATATGCTTCAATGTAAACACCTGATCTACACATCCCCTACCCACTCTAAAACCTCCTTGCTCATCCGCAATCCTACATTCTGTCTTACCTCTAATTCTTTCAATAATAACCCTACCATACACTTTTCCCACTAATTCCTCTATAATTTTTACAATCTCTTTTGTCCCCCTTCCCTTTATATAAAGGGACTATACATGCTCTCTGCCAATCCCAAGGTACCTTCCCCTCTTTCATACGTTTATTACACAAAAATACCAACCACTCCAACACTATCACCCCCTGCTTTTAACATTTCCGTCATGATAACGTCAGTTCCAGCTGCTTTACCCCCTTTCATTCTACGTAATGCCTCATGCACCTCCCCCACACTTACATCCTGCTCTTCTTCACTCCTAAAAGATGGTATACTTCCCTGTCCAGTGCATGAAATTATTGAGCAATGACAAGTGTTCATCACACTTGAGTTATCCATTATCATTTATTTTTAATACACCAGCTGTTTCAAAAAGAGGAAACATTCAGCAACATTCAGTTAATTGGCATCTTGCCAAAAGTAAGCTTAGATAAGAATAAATTATAAAACTGTACAAAAAATTAATGCCTCGGAATCCAAGTCTCATACTAGTCGTCACCATAAGCTGTTTAACAGGTCATGTGAATACCTCATGTTGCATGCTGTCATTGTAATCGTTAGTTAGAAAAGTTAGAAATTATACTAGCTTTAAAGTCTATTGATTGCTCAAGGGTTAAGGCAAACTAAAGTACAATTTTTAATAAGCTGTCAACAGTAATTTGTCATTTACTTGGTATGTGGCAGCATCCAGGTTTGATGCAGACACATAGAGTAAGTTGTTCTGGACGAGATATACGAACGAAGGAACACACACTTTCAAGGTATCTATCTTCTGTTGCCAAATCTGGGTGTGCAGTGCCATGAACAAGTGCTGCAACAATATACACATATATGCATATCAGTGCTGCTTAAAATAAAGATTAAAGTGATTTAGTAAACTGCCACTTGGGAGTAACTTCAAATCATTGCATATCTTAACATGTCTTTTGAATTTAGAAAAAACGAGTCTGAAAACATAAAAACATAAGAAAGGAGGAACATTGCAGTAGGCCTGTTGGTCTATACTGGGCAGCTCCTTTACAAATCCAACCCACTAACAGAATATTTGCCCAACCCCTTTTCAATGCTACCCAAGCAATAAGCTTTGATAAATCTATTTAGTCATGTGCAAGTCCCTGATCACCCTTTAGAAGTACTGGTAAAACTAGCTCTAAAAACCGTTATCAACAATACCTGAAGGTAATAATGGCTCTATCACCAAAGCAAGGTGACCCAGAGAAGAAGAAATGTAATGTTTTTCTTCTTTTTTTCATTCAGTAATTTATATAGGAAGAGTTACTAGTCCGTTGCTCCCAGCATTTTGGTCACCACTTGTGACATGCATGGCTTACAGAGGAAGAATTCTTCTCCACTTCCTCATGGAGTAATGCCAAAGTTTTTTATTAAAAAATAAACATGTTGCAAAATTGTTATTTAAGCTGGTCACATGATAAAGACCCATGTCAGGTGACTTTTTCATTCAAATAAATTAAAGTTTTCAGCTTCTCCGTAGTTACAGGAGCAGAGATATGCTCATGTTAAGTTTCAGTCTACCAATACTGGTTTAGAAATATTTTCTAGTGTCCATTTTTTTCGTAATTTGCGAGTGTGGCCTCTTATTTTCACCTCTGCTGAAGGTGTTAGGAAATCTTTATCTAAAGTTAGCAGAGTACAGAACAGAGCAATAATAATATCAATACTACAATAAACATATGAGGTGAGATTGTGGAATTTTATGTTGTAAAATTAAACAGTGGTGAAGCAATGTAAAAAGAGAGTAAATGAGAGAGTGGGCGAGATGTTATCAACAAATTTTATTGAAAAATAAGAAAAAGTTTTGGAGTGAGATTAATAAGTTGAGGAAGCCTAGGGAATGAATGGATTTGATAATTAAAAATAAGAGAGGAGAGCTATTAAATGGAGAGCTAGAGGTATCGGGAAGATGGAGGGAATATTTTGAGGAATTGTTAAATGTTGAAGATAGGGAAGCTGTGATTTTGTGTACAGGGAAAGGAGGAATAATATCTTGTAGGAGTGAGGAAGAGCCAGTTGTGAGTGTGGGAGGGGAATTCGTAAGGCAGTGGGTAGAATGAGAGGGGGTAAGACAGCTGGGATTGATGGGATCAAGATAGAAATTTTAAAAGCAGGTGGGGATCTAGTTTCGGAGTGGTTGGTACTTTTATTTAATAAATGTATGGAGGAGGGTAAGGTACCTAAGGATTGGCACAGAGCATGTATAGTTCTTTTGTATGAAGGCAAAGGGGACAAAAGAGTGTGCAAAAATTATAGGTGAATAAGTCTGTCGAGTATATCTGGTAAAGTGTATGGTAGAGTTATCATTGAAAGAATTGTGAGTAAGGCAGAGAGTAGGATAGCAGATGACCAAGGAGGCTTTAGAATGGGTAGGGGGTGTGTAGACCAAGTGTTTACAGTAAAACATATAGGTGAACAGTACTTAGATAAGAGTAAAGAGGTTTTTGTGGCATTTATGGATTTGTAATAAAGTTGGTAGAATTACCGACAATATGTAAAGTAAAAGGACACAAGTGCAACTAATGTGACATTTTACTGTGGCAACGTTTTGCTCTCCAGGAGCTTGATAAAGCTCCTGGAGAGTGAAACGTTGCCACAATAATATGTCACGTTAGTTGCACTTGTGTCCTTTTACTTTACATTTATGGATTTGGGAAAGGCATGACAGGGTGGATAGGGGGGCAATGTGGAAGATGTTGCAAATGTATGGAATAGGAGGTAGGTCACTGAAAGCAATGAAGACTTTTTACAAGGATAGTGAGGCTCATGTTAGAGTATGTAGGAGAGAGGTAGATTATTTCCCAGTAAATGTAGGCCTTAGACAAGGATGTGTGATGTCACCATGGTTGTTCAATATATTTATAGATGGGGTTGTAAGAGAAGTGAATGCTTGGGTGTTGGCAAGAGGTGTGGGGTTAAAAGATAAGGAATCTAACACAAAGTGAGAGTTGTCACAGTGCTCTTTGCTGATGACACTGTGCTTTTGGGAGATTCTGAAGAGAAGTTGCAGAGGTTGGTGGATGAGTTTGGTAGGATATGTAAAAGAAGAAAATTAAAAGTAAATACTATAAGAAAGAGTACAGTTATAGTTCTGTACAAGCAACTATTACAAATTCTTGTGGCCATTAGCAACAGTATGGACAATAACAAAACAAGCATACCTGTATGGAACCCTCTTGTTTGAAGACTAAAAAGAGTGATGCAAACATCTTTACTAGTTCTGCCATCACTACAGCTAAGAGAGAAAAGGAAATACAATTTTATACAAATTTATTCATAATAAATATAGTTTCATACACTTACTTAATATGCATTACAATCTACCCAAATACACGCTTAAATAATTTACAGTTTGTGAATTCTAAAGAATCTGACAATAATTCTAACAATAACTACAATTTTCATCACTAACAGTAACATTAAAATCAAACATTAACTTACCGGAAGAAGCAATGAACATGTCTCCAGGACGAGTGCGAGCATAACGCATGCTGAGGGCAACTGCAGAATTCTGCACTGTCAGAGTCACCAAACTCACATATTTAAGAACAGCTACTTGTGCTGGGGCAACAAATATAGTATGTTAGGTGAATGTTGATTATAACTTTCCTCACATACATGTAGATATAAATATACAGTGATCCCTCACTTAATGACCAAAATAGGACCCATACAGTGAAATGCTAAAGTTCTGGATCAGATTTAAAATTGTAGATGCAATAACTGATGTAACAGTTACATGGAATGACGTTCCTCAATCAACAATAAATGCAGGCTGGGGAAGTGTGTCTCCTAGTGTAGTGAATAATTGCATTGGTATTCCCTCAATAGATAGTCAGATCCAAGAAATTCTGAATCTGGCAAGGATAATGCCAGATGGGGGATCTGAAGATATGCTGGAAGAACCTGAACCTAGACAGACGATAGTATGGGATATACGCGAGATGCTGCATACTACTGGTAAAGCTTCAGACTTTTATGCTGAAAAGGACCATACCACATCTAGAAACACTGCTATGAAGTACCCTCTTTATGGTCAGCTATTTGAAGAAATGCTATTTAAAACAGCAGATTCATTACAGAACACTTTAAAAAATTCATTACTACAATCATCTACTAACAGCTGTACATCAACATCAGACAAGTTCAGCCATCCACCTTAGCCTAACAACCAAAATCATTCATGTGTGCACAAACAACCACAACCATCCACCTGAGCCCAACACCCACTATCATCCACCTTAGCCCAACACCCACTATCATCCACCTTAGCCCAACAACCCCTACCATCCAACTCAGCCCAACAAACCACTACCATCCACCTCAGCCTAACAAGAGCCATCTACCTTGGTCCAGTAGGGTGACACTAATCCTCTCCACATGTCAAGACCTACAAGCCTGACCAACCAGAATTTAAGGCAAGAAAAAATTATTTTAGGTATTCTTGTATTTTTTTCTTTTTGAAGTCCCAGGAGCTTAACCCTATTTTTCCCACAGAGAGAAATTTAAAAATAAAATAGTGCTGAGCTTGAGTGATTGCATAAGAGTGAATTTATACTTTACATAGCAACTTATTAGGGAAAATGGCATCATCACATAGCAGTGAATTCACACAAAGTGAAGCTGCATAATGTGAGTGAAACCCGTATTCTATTCTGAACTCTCTGTTTTAGTAAAAATTTTAATTTAAAGGCCCCAAAAATTTTTAAAAGGGTTTCAAAACCACAGAAGGCCTTGGTAAATTTTGACCAAAACCTCCAGTTTTTGGGTCATCAAAATAACTAAGACCCTTGCGGGAAAAACATTTGTCCTTTTTCCCCTGACAAAATTAACCAAACCTACACTGCCCCTTTTTTACTGAAACATTTTCTTTAAATTTTTGTTGCCAATTCATTCAAAAAATTAGAATATCCCCTAGCGCAATGTTTTCCCAAAAACCCCCTTAATATAACACCCAAAGAACTTGTCAACTGCCCCCCCAACCCTTTTATAAAACACAACAAAATTAAAAAAATTTAACCCCCCACATCCCTTTTCTGATTTTTGATTTCCCTTTTTTTAAGCCAAATTTTTAAAAAAAATTCAAGGAAATATAAAACTTTCATAAACGAAAAATTTTAAAAACCCAGAATTGGGGTGGTTTGAAACTGCAAAAAGGTAATTATTTTTTTTTTACTTATGGCCATCATCCATGGTTCTTTTTTTGGTCCCTTTTTGCTTAGTGCACAACATTCAATACGGGAAAAACAACAACAGGTTATCATTCAAAATGGGGATCTTTTCTTTTGTATCAAGGGTCAAAAAGAAAAAAAAAAAACTGTTTTTTAAATCAGTTTCCCCTTTAAAAAAAATTTTGCTTTCATTCCCCCTACTTTCTCTCTCCCCCCCCCCCTTCACAAAATTTCTTTTTCTCCCTTCCTTACATATTCCTTGGGCCCCTCCAAATTTTTTAAAAATTTCCTTCCCCCCACTTTCTCCCATTCTCTTTTTTTCCCCCACATTTTCTTCCACTGCCCTTCTTTCCCCATAAAATTCCCCCATAATCCAATTTTCCCTCTGGGGTAAAGTACTTATAAAACCCAAACTTGTAACTCTGGATAAATCCCATCCCAAAAAGACCATAAAAATTTAAAGTCATTTAAACCCCTTTAAACCAGTCCAAACGTAGATCAACTTTTTTTCCCAACATTTAAAAAACGTAAAAAAAGGTAGATCTATTTTTGAAGCACAAACGCATGTGAACGAAAATTTGTTTGGACATTTTAAAGGGGTTAAAGCGGGAAATAAAATTTTGAAAAATTTTCCCAATCATGAAAAACCAAATTAAAAAAAAAGTAATTTTTTTAGAAGAATTTAAAAACAAAAGAGCAATGCAAAAAAATGTTCAAAAAAACCACTGCAACTTCAAATACTTAAAATTTGGGTAACAAGGGTACTAACCGTTCTTGCCAAACCCCCAGGGCCGCCCCGGCCTCCAGCTCTCCTCCAACTTTTTAAACCCTGGTATAAGTGCTAAAAAATTTACCTTTATGGGGGAGTGCTAAACCTATAGGGGAAAATACAAACATGGGAAGGGACAGAAAACAGACAAAATGATACTTTTAGTGAAACAAAAATAAGATTTAATCAGTTTTATTAACATAGCTTTTTTTATTCTAAACCCCCCTTTACCTTGCAATCAAAAACTGAAAGGGTACAAATGGGGCCCAAGGGCTGGGCCCCCAACATTTGTTAACCAAATTTTTCATTTAGGGAACCCTTTTCACATACATATCTCTAATGCCTTTTTGGGAAAAATAGGGAAATTTGTTGTGTATAAAAATCAAAAAATTCAAACCCAAAACCAAAATTTCCCGGCCCGGTCCCACTTTACAGCATTTTTGCTAAAAGCCCGGGGAGTTTACAAGTTCTACTCATTCTTCCCTTTAAAAAAAAGACTTCCAAAAATAAATATATTTACCACTCACTTTTAAATTAAAAGGGTGAAAAAAATTTTTGATAAGCAATGCTTGCACTGGGGAAAAAGCAATTTTTTTTGGCCAAGCCAACCCGCCGCTTAAAAATATGAAAAATGTTTAAAAAAATCAGGGATATACAAAGGGAAACCCCGATTTTTTAAACCCTTCCCCAACCAAATTTTTTTGTAAGGTAATTTTTGTGGGTCTGAAAAGGAGTAAAACTAAAAATTTTCAAAAATCCTTTTGGGAACCCAAAATTTGTTTGGGGAAAAAGGGACTCGAACAGCCTTCTGAAACAAATTTAAAAATTTTAACTCCGGTTCCCACCGTATATGGATTTGAAAGTGAAAAAAAACCTAGTTCACTTTTACAGATTTTCAAATTTAAAAGCAAATAAGCCCGGAACCTTAAAACCTTTTGAAAGAGCGGACCTTTTTAACACTGTAGCTTATAGTGGGGGTTTTTAGTTAAATTTTCCAAGCCCATAAACCAACAACTAAAAATAGAAAAGTGACTAAAAAAAAAAAGTCTACAAATTTGCAACAAAAATAATCTAAACCCTAAACTTGGGTAGAAAAGAAAAAATGGAAAACATAAAACGTAAGAAAGTGAAGTATTTAAAAAAACTGCATTTAAAACACAGTATTTTTTGAAGCAAAAAAATGAACCTTTAAAAAAAAATAATGGGCCCCTTTAAAAAAAAATCCCCGGGGGGACCCCCGTATTTTGATATTTTAATTTCCTTTTCCCCAGAGCTCACGTATGCCCAAAAAAAAAACGGGGGGCCCAATTAAATTTTTTTTTTTTTTAAATTAAACACACTGGCCGATTCCCACCCAAACAGGGTTTCCCCCAAAAAGAAAAACTTCACCCTCCCTTCAAATCCCCTGCCTTTTCCAAAGGGTGCCCCTTTTCACAACAGTAAATTTAAAAAATGCAACTTAACACCCCCCCCTTTAGGTGCAGGCACTGTACTTCCCCTCTCCCGGACCAAGTCCGGCCTCCGGTTTTTCCCCAACCCCTTCATAAAAAGTTACTTTGCTCCCCAAATCCAACAGCACGTCAAAATATTAAAAACCATTTGTCTCCCAATTTACTTCCTAACAAACACCTCATGCATACCCGCTGGAAGTCCAAGCCCCCTTTGCACAAAAAAAACCTCCTTTTTTCCCCCTCCTCCCAAAACCTTTTCCCAGGGGCCCACCCCAACCCCCCCCCTTCCTTCCACTCTTGAAAAATCATTCTGTTTTCCCCCCATAAGAAAAAAAATGGAAAACAAATTAAAACCGTGCAAGACAACCCCAAAAAAATAAAAAAAAAAAAATTTCCACATAAATATTAAGTTTAATGCAAAACAAACGAAAGAAGACATGCCATTTGTAGTACTCTCCCAACAATAAAAACATTACACTTACCTTTATGAAGATCGGGGATGATTTAAAGGGGGGGGAGTGTGTTGAAGAGTTAATGTTAGAAGGGGAAACCCCACAGGAAATCTCATTAATAAGTAAGTAAATGTTAATATGGCGAAATGCAGAAAGTAACTACTAATTTGGTATACAGTGATATTTTATGTACATACGTGGTACCCCGGTTTTTGTACAGCCCCCAACCAAACAATTACGAGTGTATTATTGTAAGTGCATTTTGGGGGGTCGAAACAGACAAAATTAAATTTTAAATTATTCCTTATGGAACAAATTCTTTGGTAAGGGCACTGAACACCCTTCGGGAACAAATTTTGGGCCGAAACCGGGGGTACCACCGTATTTAATAAAAAAAGATTAAATTTATTTACATTTTGTTTTTTTGAAAATTTAAAAATTAAAAAAATTCTTTTTTTATGATTTAAATTAACAATACAAGTTTTATTTTTTGTCAGATTGTACATATTTACTGCTAGGTGAACGGAAGTAAGATTTCCCCCAACTTCAATTGCCTGAAAAAAATTTAAATTTTCTTGGCTTTTAAGCAAAGTCTACCCCGGGGCTAAAGGGAAAGTAAACATTAACGGGCTACAAGGAAGTAACGCTAACAGTGAGCTAAAAGGGAACTAAACTGCAAAAACCCAAAAGGGAAGAAAAAATGCCCCCAGTGAGCTAA